ATATATAAATAATATTATTTTATATATACAACTTTTATGTCAGGTGCCATATATAAATATTATTTATACATAATATATACACAAAATATATATGTATATATGAAATCAGTTTATATATACATATACATATACATATACATATACATATAAAATACATACTTGTTTTATTTTAGTGAAGTAATACAACATTTTAAATTACCTTAACTGGACTCTCTCTGAAAAGAACTTGAAAAATAGCCTTTTCTTTGCTTTTTAAGCTTGATGTTGGTATTAAGTCTTCTAAATTTGTGTCTCTGTATTCTCTATAAGCATATTAAATGTTTTAGTATACAGCAGATTTGTGCAGAATGAGAAAATTTTGCTAGTTGACGTATCCTTTCCTCCACATTTCCTCTTGCAGCAGCATTGTGAAACTGAATGGAAAAACTGGCTTGAGTTTTCTTGGGGTATGTAGCAGAACTCATTCAGAAGTTCATTATAATCTTGCTGGCAGCTGAGTCCTATCTAAATACTGTTTTTGAATTCCCTACAGTTTGCTTTTCTCCTTAATCAAAAGGAAATATAAATGAAAGGCAGGATTTGAGATTTATATCTTGTCTGCCAAAACTTTCTAGTTCACTCTTGTGGAATAAATTTAACTTGGTTTACCTGGTAACTACTGGACACCTGATAACACAGGTGTTCGGAAAGAGATCTGAAAATGGGAGAGACGTGGGTGGGTGTATTTTGTGTCATGGATCTTGTCGGCGCTAGCAGAGATTTTGAGAAAAGGCCTACCAAAACCACTGTGGAGCGTGGGTGATAACGTTTGGCTCATAGCCCTCAGTCATTGCTTGTCAGTGTGTTCTCAGTCTGCTCAGTGTAAGCTTTAAGTACTATGTCTTGTCATTTTGAAATAGACTGTCAGTGCTCTGAATGTTTCATTATAGATCCGTACGAGAGCAGATCAGACATGTGACCACAGTTGATGAACCTCTTGGCAGGGAAAGAAGCCTTTTGCTTCCTTTCCTGAGTTCCTTTCCCAATTTAAAATAGTCTGACAGTGTCTATCTGTATTCAGACTGTTTTCTGGACTGTTCACATCCAAGAAATGTTTAGTAGTCTGTCTGGCCAGTAAGCTGAAAGTGTAATGAGGGTGTCTTTTCAGAGAGGGTGCCTGTTCAAAATGTCTCTCCAAGAGATCAGCACTTGAAGTGGTGTAATTGTTTCTGGCTTTTAGGAATAAAAGTGGAGTTTATAGATGACTTCACCAGAAGTGATGTAGGATGACTGTGGGTCACAGGATGATGCAGAGTTTTGTAGCAGGCTGGATCATTTGTTCCAGGATCAAATTCACGGTAAGGATGACATAGGTGCTTGGCTGGACATAATAAGGCTCCTTAGGGAGGGTGGGATAGCTTGAGCTATCTGTTCAGGAAGCCTGTTTTCAAATTGTCCTATACTTTTTACATGTTGCACTGCTGTTCAGATCCAAGAGCTACAGTGATGCTGCAGTTTTGAAGTTAAGCACCACTGAATTATAAATAATTTAGAGAAATGTTTGAGGCGTGTGGATGTTTAGTGCCCCACCTGTGGGAAACTTTTTTTTTTTGCAGAACTGGAATAGAAAGATTGCAGGACAAGTTCAGCAATTCTTTATTGATGTAAATAATGGCAAGATCAGTTTGGGTTGATATTCTGTACAACTATACTGTCTGCACACTTCGAAACTCTTGAGGATTACAGTTAGTTAAAGTGAAGTTGTACGTAGTGCATACAGTTGCATTTTAAGTGTGTGGAATATATGTTGTTACAGATGAAATCTTCCAAATGTAAAGAGGAGGAATTTGCCAAATTTAAGACATAACAATCTTCTAGGATGTACTGATTGTACTTTTTTCTTTACTGATGCCTGTTACAGGCCTTTCGATGAGGATTACAATGTTGGACTGAAGCCAGTGAAATGGGGATGTAGGTGAAAGTTTTGAGTATGGCTTGGGATATTCTCTAATTCCAGTAGTGAGATGGCAGGAAAAGATAAGGGAGATACAAATTCTGTTAGAAATCTTACTGAATCTGTATAGTATTAGGGGAATATAAAGATACCTGGAAGAAATAAGAATGATGACTTCTGTTCATTTAAAAACAAATTTTCTGATTGTGTTGGAAAACACTACCAGTTTCAAATTAAGGCAAAGGTTGTTAGGTAGGTGAAAAAAACGTTCTATTTACATCATTAGGTCTATTCTTTAGTGTGCCTCACTTGCTAAAAAGAAATTTCAGGAATTTGAGTCATATTATTTGCAGTTGTTGACGCTTGACAGGTCACGTACTCAAAAGCAGTATGTTTTCTGTCTATGATTCTTTTCAATAACAATTCACAGTTAACATATTGAATTCGGTGCTGTAATAAATAATCCCTCAATGCAGTAACGTGACGGGATTAGTAAAACCAAACCCCTGCCCCAAGCCTCTTGACTGCATTGAATGTCACAAAAACGTGGATGAGAAAGAAGGGCTTCAGGTTATCAACAATGGACTAGGATGTAATTTCTAGGAAGGTTTTTTCCATTATTACCCACCCTAAAAGCATCTTCTTCCAAAATAGCTGTATTAGCCATTGTCAGTTTGGATTTATGTATGTGTCTTGATCTGCTGATATCTCCTGTGTAAGGCTGAGAAATCACCCAGATTGTTCTGTTTCTAGTAGTCTTTCTCATTCTTCATGCTTTACTCCATCTTCTTTTCCTTCTGCTTTGAAAAATGACCAATTTCTTCTTAGCTAGAAATAATGACTTTCATTTCAAGATATGTTTTCTCAGAGTTGATTTAGAATCAAAACTAGAATACAGACAGAAAAACCTGCTGAGACTGACAACCCAACTTTTATCCTCTTTGCTAAAGCAATATTATTTTGATAAAACTATGGATTAGACTTCTTTAATGCTGGTTTTCCTTATCTTGTTTAAATCTCAAATGACATTCTTCAGTGCATCTCCTAGAAAGATTTAACTGCGATGTTACTGGGGTAGCTCTTCAAAAATGTCAATATTGGTATTCTTTAAAGGATGAGACTAATCAGTCATTTACAAAAAGTGGTGTCTTGGGTTTTTCACATTCCACACAAAAGACTTCCAAATGACACTGTAGAAGTCTGAAGAAGCAGCTGGAACTTAATCTCCCCTGACTGAAGACAGTTATACTACAGCATGACAATGTCTGCGATGCCTACAGTAATGCATAATTTGGTGCAGCTTGGGCAGATGAATGAAGCAAAGTCGTGCTGAATTAACTGCTGAGGCTCCTGACATTTCTACTGTATGTGGTTTGTGAGGTTTACTTTGGACTAGGTTTAATTTCATCCTTTGAACCAAATGTCCCATAATTCACTTCAAAGCCGTCTGATTATATCTATCCCACAAATCTTTGCTTCCTTGACTTGTGGATTCCTTTAGGAAGTGCCATGCTCAGCTTTCATCTGTCTCACTGCTGCTTGATTTCTCTCCCCACTCCAAGTGGATGTTGTCCAAGTAATAGGAAACATAGATGCTGTTGGAGTGGTGCAGAACACTATGGGCTATCCTTCACAAGTACCAGAAATTCCTTCTGAGGCAAATGGTTGTCCGGAACCTATCTCTTCTGCAGACTGAATGCCATGGCATCACTTCTGATCAGTGCATGCCACTCTGATAGGTGTTACAGAATCCCCATCTCATCCCAGTCCCTCCTTGGAGACACACGGTGCACAGCCGATCTCCGAAACTAGGAAGGAAAATGGCCCTTCCCAAAAATCCCCAGTTTCCTCTCAATCCAAGGAACTTCTTGTCATCTGAAAGAAGGAAGAAGAAATTACTGCAACTAACTGCAATCCCAGCAGCTGTCTGGCTGTATGAGAAAGGATTTTTTCTTGTTATTTGTGGAAGAGTGTACCAGCACCACTACCACCACTGAGCAGGTCATTTATACACTGCATTTGAGATATTGTGGCTGGGTTTCTGTGCAGAAGCCTAGGAGGGCTTATTGTTAAGGAGGTATGCCATGTCCACCGTGACTTATGTGGTTTACAGGGCTGTGCCTGGCACATGGTCAGAGCTGGGACAGGACAGGTGGTGTCTGATGGATCTTGTTGCTCTCGGTCCCTGGGGAATTGTCTCTCAAGGCATAGCATCTCTCACAGTCAATCCAGAGACTCATATTGCCTTTCCACAGCTTTGCAACAGTGCCCTAATTCTACCAGAAGCCTCCTATACACAGTCTCACGTTCAAAACAAGTACAGGAAGGGAACATGCACGCTTACTCAGGCAGACATCTGGACCACTGATATTGCAGTTCCCATTGCCTCCAAGGGGATACTCCTGCTTGTTGTTTCGCAGGGGTTCTCTGGGGGTTGCAGGCATGTAGCAGGCATGTAGACGTGTGCCGTCATTGCCATGCTTTTCCCTAGACTGTGTCCCAGGACTACTGATCCTGGGATTAAGGGCGTGGATGTCCTTGGGTGTCTGTGGATGAGCAGTGGGATTGGTGGAGTGCTCTCCCCTCCCCTGACGACCTGTTCAAGATCTCTGTGGTAGGGGCACATGCACCGTGCCACCTCTGAAGCATGGTTTTCCCACCTCATTGAGAACATGGTCTTCATCTATTTGAAATGAATGCAGCACTGCTTTTCAGTCCTCTCCCACTCTGCAGCAGGCTTGACATTAGCAATGGAGTCGCGCATATGCTGGAGAAGCTTTTACAGCAGTATGAAAAGGAGGAAACAGTAGCTAAGAAGAGTAATAGAAGAGTGAAGAAGCTGATCAAGGGATGGGGGAGTAGGAAGGAGTACTTTAGTAGTCTTGGAAAAATGACACAGTGGAGAAGCTGAAGAGCATAAGGTGACTTGCTGCCTTTGGTTTAGAGGAATGTGTATGTGACATGGCTCTTTTTACACCATGAGATGCACTTCAGGATGTTTCAGGAGCTCTCAGTGTTTGAAGAATCCTTTTGTGTTTAGCTTACATTGAAGGACTCCACACTGGTGAGACCCAGTCATTGTTCGACCCAGGAAGGTTTGAAATTCCTCTTTTGAGCATTTTGAGTGGAATTTCTGTTTTCTGTACCTTTAAGAAGAATTCTTTTGGCTTGGACCAAAACTGCTTTTTGTAACTACTAGGGACAGCCAGGTGATTTACTTCAGAACTGCAGTACTTCTCCAACCTGAACTGCTAATACAGATGTAGTATTTGTTTGATGGCTGGGTAAAAATAAAGCTGTGATCACTGGGGGCTTGCATTTGATAGAAGTGTAATCTAAGCCTAGATCTTCAAAGCTGAAAGCCTGCTTGAGTTTCTTATTGTATCACTTGGTCTCAAGTGATTTTATTACTGAAGTGTCAAATATATTAAAGTGATGGAGCAATCTTAAACTTGAAGAAAAGTGGTGAAATAGCATGCTGGTAGGAAAATAACAACTGTAAAATCTTGAGGGATAAAATACGCTGTCTTAATGTGAACCGTAAATGACAACACACTGTAACAAAGTGGAAGGTTTCATGGCTTGTAACAGTTTATTGAAATGTCACTACTCACTCTCAACCCCTGCCCTTTTTAGATAGAGTGATTACTTGGGTGTTTCAGAGTTTCCACAACAATCTTAAGGGCAATGTAAACCTGCTTATGATGTTCCCTAGTTTTCCAAATAGTTGCAGGTAGAGACAGTGTTTTATTAGGTAGTCCAAATGTTCCCTGGCTGTCAGAAGGACGAGGGAAAGGGCATAAGGATAATCATTGATACCCGTGTATTGTATTGGGTTATTGTCTTCAGTGATACTAAACTCTCTAGATGGGGACGTTAAGTGCAGACAAGAGATTACTGGGTTTGTATGGAAGACGTGGTTCCTGTCTGCAGCATGCTACATATATTCTGCTTTAAGTACAGTCTACCTATGATAGGTTTCAATAAAAATGACTTAAGTACATGCAGATCTCTTCACTGTCTCCCTCCTACAGCCAAGTACCAAAGTTGTATAGCTTGTATACAGGCACTTGGAGTCTTCTATTACAAAATTACTAATTATGATCTTTAGATGGTGCCTTTTTTCCTTTAGCAGGCAAATTGCCTTTTTCAACATCATTAATAATTATAAAATATCAGTAATGAATGATACTACTTGTCCATTATGTTTAACTACTTATTGCCTACTATCCACACTTACACTGACTGTAAAATTACTCATTAAATTCTGTTTTAATTGCCTTTGGCCTTTTTGTCAACACTGTGCTTGAGAGTTGCACAAGCAGCAAAGGTAAGTATTAATTTTCTCAGTTCTTTGAGATACGGTGATATTAGCGCTGTGTTGCAATGAGTTTGCAGATTTTAATGTTTTCACAGTAGGAAGTATAGAAAAGGAATTTACCTTTGAAAGTAGAGTTGCTACGCTTACTCACAATTACCTTCACCAATCCTATCTAGAAATGACTGTAAGTGCCGGTGGTATGGCAATGAATTCTAGTTGCGTACAAGTTCAAGCCTTGTTGATTTTTGTTGGGTTTTGATAGCATATGTCAGTTTAATAGAGTATTGATAGGTATTAATTGGTCTAGAATTAAAGGTATTTTCTTTTGATAATCAGTAACATTTAATGTAAGAGGTCTGTTGCAAATAAATCATATATACGTACCTTAATTTGTTTGATGTTTTCAGCTGGATATGGTGATGACCTTGCCTTATAAAAATACTCTCTTGTCGTAGAAAATGACATCAGGGATTTATGCAGTGTTTATAAAAAATGGAAGCTACACTGTTATCTTCTGATGCAAGCATGCGTGCTTGGGGCTTCTATGTTTCCATTTTCTTAAATCCTCAGGCAGAAGTGTAGAAATATGCATAGTTTGATTGTGGATGAGCTGTGTATTTAATGCAAACACAGGGCAGATACGTCTGGAGCTTCTGGATGTTAGTGTCTCAGATTGCTCAAAGTCTGAACATGTGTTCCCCCTGAAGAGAGAAGCAGTGGGTAGTGCTGTATTATCCTCTTCAGTACAAGTATCAGATAGACTTCTAGGACTGGATGTAGTTGCTCAAAGTTTTCTTGAATATGACCATAAAAGAAAGACCCTAATGCCTGTGAATCTCAGAAAGTAACAGTGGTACTAGAATTTGAAATATTAAACTGGAATAAGGCACCTCTTCAAATAGAGAAAACTCAAACTTGATGGATAATACAAATGAAAGTAAAACATTTCCAAGAAAATTTACCCTCCTGATTAGCTCATCCTTGAAAAAGAGGGTCCTTCCCTCCTGTCCTGCTTGCATGATGTGTATTAATGGCCTAGGCTACTCCCATTGCTTGCATTATCTGCTGGGTCACCGAAAACACCTCTGCAGGCAACAACCCCCTGCTGTTCTCAGGAGTTTCTCTCCCCTTTCCTTTCTCTCCAGTCTGATATTACCTGAGGAAAAGAGTCTTTAATGAGGCTAAATTTTATTTGAAGCCTTATCTATGCTATATAATGAACAAATAAGGAATAATGCAGTACAGGTAAGATATGAGAAATTCATATGTGAGTAAATTCATGTTACATGGGTAGTGAAAGAAATCAGAATGTTTAAACTTCTTGTGTTTGTTGCAGTGTTTTTTAGTGAATGGCAACCTCTTAAAGACGAGTTTTACTACTGTAGGTAAGAAGAGGTCACCTGTAAGACAGAGGAGCTCCTTTGTTGTGAAATTAGATTTATACGTCTTCAGATATCCCAGGAACTTCCTAGATAATTTAAGTTTTTAGTCTTATCACTAATGTAAGACTGTTGCAACTAAAACTCCTGGTCTTGTTACGTCTGACTGGCATGTAACCGTGCTTACGGAGTATTCGATCTCATAACTTCTGAGATGTTTCTACTTCCAGCCTGTTTCCTATTAGTTTATTAATCTACTTGTTTCTTCTTAGTCTACGTTTTTTCCTGTTAACCTATTAGCCTACATCTTGTGCACAGTTACATCAGTTTTACCTTATTACTTATACACCTCCACATGCAAATACAAAAATTTAAAGGCAGTGAGCAGGTTTAGATACTGAGTGTTACACAACTGTCAGCCTCTGGAACTCAAGAAGCCTCTGACAGCTGAGTTCATTCAGTTGCTCTTGGGGAGTTAGTAGTTTGCTTCGCCACCAGAAGATGACACGTTTCCATGCCACAACAAGCAGGTTGGGACAAGCGCACAGTGCTTGTCACAGGCTCCCATACTCACTCTAACAGAAGTTACTGTGTGGTAAATTGTCCATCCTGGTGTACTAATGAAATACTCACTACTAGTTTAGTGACAGAATACTATACACTCTCGGGGTAATAAATATTTTCTCATGATGCTACAGATCCCTGACATTGCTGTTGTTCTGTCACATTTCTTGAGTTCCAGTCCTTTGCTGCCATGCATAGCCTGTCTTCAGGCTTCTGCTTACCAAAAATGAAAATCTGAAAATGAGAGGAAAAATGACTTCTTAAATCTAAATGTGTTTCTCTGAATTTGTATTTACATTTGGTTCAGGGTATAAAATTTACATTTACATTTGTTTTTACATTTGGTTTGGTATAAGATTTCTTGTCTTGGATTCAGAGAAGTTTAAAACACTGTAGTAGAGAAAGTATTAACTACGTATTGATTTGTGTTTCAGACTTCACTAGGTAGGACAGGATTTGCATTATGAAATGTCCTGTTTACATCCATTCTTAAAAGCTAAAATTGACAAACATAAACAGTTATCTGGATAAAAGAACGAGTAATTCGACTGTCATTTAAGAGTTTGCAAAAAATTGCCATTGACTTTTTTTGCTCGAATATCTAAAATAATTAGCTTCAGTCCATTCTCATTTTACAAAAGAAAAACATATTACAGTGTTTTTTGCAAAAAGGATATTGTCCTAAGTTTATTGAACCTGGATTGCATCTCTCATCAGTTTTACATATCATACTGGTTTGTATCCTTAATGTCCTGTGTCTGTTCATGGGGTGAAAGGGGGTGAAAGTTGTTTTTTATGGGGCAACAGCAGACCTTGAGAAACTTTTAATATGTTGTGAACGTTTTGTCAGTACAGGTCTCCAAGTTAGCTGATGTCATGGTTAGACATGGTGTGAAGAAAGGAGATCGTGTGGTCATCTACATGCCCATGATTCCACAGACAATGTACTGTATGCTGGCTTGTGCAAGAATAGGAGCCATCCATAGCCTGATTTTTGGTGGATTTGCGTCTAAAGAGCTTTCTGTTCGCATTGATCACGCAAAGGTAATATGTATTTGGAACAACAAACACTACAACATTAGTTATGCATATAAGTCCATGTCAAAAACCCGTGTTTTTTTTTTTTCCAGAGAGGATGACATTTCTCCGTGTGTGAAACACAATCTCAATTTGTTTATAATATCTAACATTGCAGTGTGAACAAAGTATTACATCTGTGCTGAGGTTGATACTTTTATAGCAGACATTGAGATACAAATTTTGACCTCTTTTAAAAAAGCTCTCTTAAAAAAGAGTTTAACACACTGCTGTCTGTTTACAGCATACTTTCTTCTTCCATTTGTCAGTCTTTTTCTACAAAGCATCACCTTAAAATTGTCTTTTCACCCAGTATTTTCCTCAAGTGTGTGAGGACAGTGCTGCCAAACCTAAATAACTTCATTGGTTTACTTGTTGTTTAGACACATTAGGTAGTACATTTTTTCAGCTATAAATCTACTTTGTCTAACTTCTGCGTGAATCAAGGCAGCTGAGGAACCAGTTGCCTTAAGTAAGTGACTCTGCAGAGGACATAATTAATAGAGGTGAATGCTTTAAAGGCTTCCAAGTTTGGCACAAGTTGAGCTTGTTTATGAAGCATTATGTAAGTCTTTCTAAGTGAAAATGCAAATAGTACTTTAATAATCTACTTAGTAGCTTATATGTGCATATTAATAGCTTGCATATGCATTAGTTTTGAAGCAGCTAATGTTTTTGCTGGAAGTTTCTTTTCTTGTTTTCTACCAGTGAAGAAGACAAAAGTCTTTGTCATCTTGATCAGTCACCAGGATCATTCAGACCATCTGTGGTAGCCATCTATCTATTGGTTAGACGTGTAAGCCAAAACATTATGAAGGGTAAAGTCCACAGGATTTGTGGAACATTTACTTAGATTTTTGTGTGCAGAAGTGCTTTCCAGATCACCAAGGCTTGAATTTTATAAGTATCTGTAAACAGAAGGTGGAATGCATCCCCCCTCCCTGCCTTGATGTTTTGACAAAGAAGAATTTAATAAAATGGCTGAAATGGTTTGTTTGAAATGTGAAAAAAAGCTAGGGGAAGGCAAACAATAGCTCCATAGTTTTCCTTGTCTTTCTTCCCACTCCCCCACTTTTTAAACAAGCTATAAAAATTAATTTTAACTCATAGAATTAGGGGAAAATAATGTAGAAGAAAACAATTATAAACTTCTAAAGTGAAGGTTGGTACAATACAAATCATCTAGTGTGTTTACTTTTAGAGTATTTTGCAGATATTAACTAATTAATCCCAATGGATTTTCTCTGAGGAACAAAGGGAGACAGCGCAGTGATTGTAATCCTTGCTTCATGCATTAAAAAGAAAACAGAGAAAGTTTAAGTGATTTACCCAAGGTCACATAGAAAGTCTTCTGAAAGGTAAACTGTAGAATTACTAGCTGCAGGCCATGGATGAAATCCTAGTTTACATTGCCTTGTTGTTTCTTTGAAAGGCAGGTCTAAATATTGTGGATGATTTTTGGTCCATGTGATGTGTAATGAAAGTGTAAGTAAAGAGGAGAGGCACATCATCAATATAAATTTCAAAACATGCCCCAATTTTGCAACATGGTAAAGCTTTCATGATAAGTGAATTGCACACTACTGAGATTATCTATAAGTAGCTGTGATAGATGGTATTCTGCTGAACTCAGAAGTTAATTGAAGCAGTCTCAAGAAAACCTGACCTTTCTTTTAGGCTTTTACATGAATTGGTTTAGGTGCTGCAGTACAGGTCCTAATGTTGGTAAGGTTAATTAGGAAGAGTTAAAGATGTGCAATGGAAAGCTGTCTGTGAGATGCTGTGAGATGTGAAAGAAAGGTCAGACTTCACATTTTATTGCAGATCTGAGTGAAAGAAATAACAAGCACTTTCTAGTGACTATGAAAAAGTACATATACTTTACCAGCTTACCTTAATTTATCTTGAATTTTAAATAGATCTGGGAAGGCTGCAGAGTCCTGCAGATGATAATTTCTACTCTTGTCAGGTACTGGCCAGGTATAGACATTCTCTAGTGAATTGTGATGAAGTGTTACAGAGCGTGAGAACAGGCATTTCTTGTCATCTTTCGCCTGAATCTGGGAATATGTAGTTTGCAATGTTGAAACAATAGATACTTTCATAGAATCACAGAATAGTTTGGGTTGGAAGGGACCTTTAAAGGTCATCTAGTCCAACCCCCTGCAATAAGCAGGGACATCTTCAACTAGATCAGGTTGCTCAGAGCCCCATCCGATCTGACCTTGAATGTTTCCAGGGCTGGGGAATCTACGACCTCTCTGGCCAACCAGTTGCAGTGTTTCACCACCCTTAGTATAAAAAATTTCTTCCTTCTATCTAGTCTAAATCTCCCCTCTTTTAGTTTAAAACCATTACTCCCTGTCTTATCATAACAGGCCTTGCTAAAAAGATTGTCCCCATCTTTCTTGTAGGCCCCCTTTTAAGTACCGAAAGGCCACAAATAAGGTCTCCTTGGACCCTTCTCTTCTCCAGGCTGAAGGGTATTGTGGAGGACTGTGTCAAAGGCCTTACAGAGGTCCAGATAGACGACATCCGTAGCTCTTGTCCACTGATGTAGTCACTCCATCAGCCAGTTCCCTCAGGAGTCTGGGATGCATCTCGTCAGGTCCCATAGACTTACGTATGTTCAGGTTCGTGGTCACAAACCTTACCTTCTCTTACTGTGGGAGGGACTTTGCTCCCCCAGTCTGTCTTGTGGCCCATCCACTTGAGAGCTGTGGGAAGCGAGGTTACCAGTGAAGACTGAGGCAAAAAAGTAATTGAGTACCTCAGTCTTCTCATCTGTTGTTACCAGCTTGCCAGTCTTGCTCATCAAGGGGGGTACACTTTCTTTGACCTTCCTTTTCTGGTTGACATACCTGTAGAAGCCCTTCTTATTATTTTTTGCATCCCTTGCCAAGTTCAGCTCCAGCTGGGCCTTTGCCTTCCTGACCCCATCCCTATACAACTGGGCAGCATCCCTATACTCTTCCGAGGATACCCGTCCCTGCTTCCACTGCCTATGCATTTCCTTCTTGCCCTTTAGTTTGCTCAGCAGGTATCGACTCAACCGTGCTGGTCTCTTGCCTTGTTTTCCCTGTTTCTTACACCTGGGGATCGAGAGCCATTGCATTGTGTGGAAAGCATCTTTAGAGATCCACCAGCTCTGTTCTGCACCATTGTCCCTGAGGGCAGTTTCCCAGGGGGTGCTATTGACTAACTCCTTGAAGAGCTGGCAGTTTTCTTTCCTAAAATTCAGGGTCCTGACTTTACTCTTTGCCTGACCCATATCCCTTAGGACTGTGAAGTCCACCAGTGCATGATCACTGCAGCCCAGGCTGCCTCTAGTCTTGATGTCACCGATTATCTCACTTACACTGGTGACCAACAGGTCTGGTATCGCATCCCCTCTGGTTGGGCTGTCTGTTACCTGGCTTAAGAAGTTATCCTCAGTGAACTCCATGCAATCTCCTGGATTGCCTACAGCTCACAGTGCTACTTTTCCATCAGATGGAGAAGGTTATTAACTATATTTTGAGACGTTAACATGACATCTGTTTAGGCACTTTATCTTAGTAAACTAGGAAAACTGAGAAGGCTGCTTAAGAACAATATGCTTATACACCTGTTTAATAGGATAGTTACTGTGTCTTCAACCATCAAATTTTCTCATGCTTTTTGAATCACAATTATATAGCAATTCCAGAGAACTTTTTAGATTTTAAGTCCAAACCCTGCAAAATTAAATACAAGTAATGGAGTTTTTAAGATGTGCACTTCACTAAAGCAGTGAATTATGATTTGCAAGTGAGCAACAATTCTTTGAATACGAAATATACAACATGTCAAAGTTACTCAAAACTCTTACTATCTTTCATTGAGGTCAGAAATACTGTATTCCTCACTTATTTACAGTTGACACGTTTGGAAATTTTAATAAGACCACCTTGAGAAAATGAGCTGATATTTTGTAATAGTTTATTCTGAATAAGACATAGTTCCTCCGTACAGGTATGGCTATGAATGGTTACCCCTACTTCTCATCATAAGATGATCAACTCTCTCATCAAGATGATCACCTTGAGTGATTAGGCTGCAAGCTCAGCTGCTGATACTTAAGATGCACAATTGCCCTATAATAGTTGCAGTCTGGTCTTTTCTTGTCCTGAAGCACTGTTTATTTTTCTCATATGTATTGCAGATGAGAAGGCACTATCTTGCGTTTTATTTTTAACTTTTTGTATGGTATCATTCCGATGTCTGTCTTTAGAGCACTGTATAATATCTGGGAGAACTTAATGTGCAGGCAGTCTGACATGGATCATCTAACCACAAAGCGAGTGCAGTACCAGCAGGTGCAGCAGAGCTGTATAACGACTGCATAAACACTGCATTTCTTTAAAATGTGTGTCACATTTTAAGGCAGAGTGAAGCATAACAAAACAGCATACGTGTGTGTGATCAGATGTATGGCTGGGGCATGAAGAGGAAAGAGCTTTGTGTGTTGAATAATGAAGGCCTGAGTGCTGGATCTCTCAGTAAACATCTTCATGATGCTCCTGACATTTTGTGCCCTAAAGCTAGTTCTTTTTCAGTTCAGGCTTTTTGCAGCTTTATTAGCTAGCCCAATAAAATGTATTTATTGTTTTTTCTAAACTTTGCCTTGTATGCTGTTAGAGACTATAGAAGAATTTGTAGGAGGAGTCTTTGCAACAGAATAAAATTGTTGGTCTGGTACTATTGGTCCTTGCTTTATCTCATTTCTACTTGTTCGTATTGTTTTGGGGTTTTTTGGTTTTTTTTTGTACAGCTCACTATCGCTGGCATTCCTCCTCCAGGAAACCTTTGAATTTTCCTGGTTTTCCTTCAAACGAGTTCTATTTCTATGTAATCTGATAGTGCAGGGCTACATGGAGCCGCAGAAGAGGTGGGAAATGGGTGTATGAGAGCAATATGGAAGCAGAGATGCAGGGGAAGTAAATGTCAGTAGGCAGAGAGGTAAAACACTAGAAAACAGCAGTTAAAGCCAGTAATGGACCTTTGATTTGCACATCGATCCATGATGCTTCCAAGTAGCAACTCTCACTTGGGAAATACATCACCTTAGCCAATTTAGTTTTTTTAGACTTCCTTGCTGCATACAAAGCAATTGATGAGCAGAAGTGGCACCATTTACAAATGACTGTAAACCTGGTGTTGACAACAGTCTTTCGTCTTAACAATTGAATAGAACCGTGTTAATATCTCACATTAATTACAGTCTAATTTCAGGGTAGCCTCCAGCTGAATTTTCTTTTTAACTGCATTGTATTGTATCATCTTTTGTTAAAATCAGTGCATCCCAAAAGACAAAGATGATGAATGCTGAGATTTTAAAGCTCACCTGAAATCTTTATTTTGAATACACGCTAATTAGCAAACTTCCCTGAATGGCATATTTGGACAGGAAACATTTTCTTATTGCACAGGAAAATAATTTAATCTTTGTTTTCTGTGCTGAGTTTAATGCAGCCTTAACTATGGCATTGTGGTTTGTGCCTACTTAATGAGATTTATGCTAATGCATACAATTAGTAAACTAGCTTGATCAAACTGAGTGGTGTAAGATAAATATACTTCTAAAACTGCAAAAGCAAGGAGATTGAAGACTCATTCTTCTCCAATTAAAATGTGTTCTAACACGTAGTTTCTTTGATGCTACCTTTATTTCCTGAAATATAGGAAATAAAATTACTGATCTCGGACCTAAGCCAAAATTGTATGCAGATTTCTTGACTTAGGAAATCTTACATAAAACCTGAGGTTAATTTAATGACAAAGATGCTAGATCTACATTTGGAAATAGAAATTATTCTAAAAAAAACCCCAGAGCTATGCAAATCTGATTTTTAGTGGGTTTACATCCTAAATCCTGTAACCATTATTTAAAAGACTCTAGCTTTGCTTCCCTCGCGTGCCTTATGACTTTAGCTTATTCTCTTCCTGTATTTGTAGTTTCCTGTCGTCTCTTGTTTGTCTTCTTTTTCCTCTTTCTTCTGTTTTCCCTTCTGTGCCATTTAATTGCAGGCTGTAAAAGAGCCAGCAAAGTGCTACAGTTTTGAAATATGCCATTGGGTGCAGGCAGATAATCAGAAAGCAGGCTAAACAGGACAGATATCACTGTACCACTTTTCCTTAATGGAGGGGCTAAAGTGGACATGGATTTTTCTTTCTGTTCATTAATTTTTGTGCCACTTACAAGAACTTAATACTGTTGATTTCTTACTCAAATTTGGTTGAAAATCGTAAAGAGTGTCAGAAGTTATTAGTGTGCTCCTGAACAAAAAACAGATGCGTGGACAGCAAGATCACACAAGCTTGATTTCCTTAGAAAGCTGAACCCCCCTATTTCTAATTATGTGAAAATAGATTTTACACATTGAACATCATTAATCAAAGAATTTAATGGAAAACATGGTATTAGCTTACATATATAAAATGTATTGCAAATGTATATGTTAACAATCTAACTGCTTTATTTTAGCCCAAACTTATTGCAACAGCAAGTTTTGGAGTAGAACCGAAAAGGAAAGTGGAATACATATCCCTCCTGGAAGGAGCACTGGCAAGGGTGCAGAGCAAACCTGATAAAGTTCTCATTTACAAGCGACCTAATTTGGTGGGTGTACAGTTGTTATGCCTTTCTGTTAACTTTCAAATGTGTTTGTAGTGCACGAGCCTTTTCTCTTTTACAAGTAAAATTTTTAGTGTATCTGTTGTAGTTTGGTTTTGAATTTTATGAGACAACTTTATATTCATAAGATTTAAATAATAAATAGAACTAATGCAGCAGGGAGGTTCCTTTACAGAAAACTGAATAGTAGTGTAAAAAAAAATTGAATAGTAGATGTTTTTTGACCCAATTCCATTTGTTCCATCTGTTTTTCTTTCAACAATTTTCTATTTTTCAATGGGCAGGGCCATGTTCCTCTTGTCCCAGGTCGCGATCTTGACTGGGAAGAAGAGCTTGCAAAAGCACAGTGTTACAAATGTGTCCCTGTTTCATCAGACCATCCACTTTATATTCTCTATACGTCTGGAACAACAGGCTTGCCCAAGGTAAAGGACTGTCAGTAGTCTTAAGTGTCTGTGACCAACCTATTTGCAGCTCCACTTGAGAAAATACTTCATTTAAAAGGTTGAAAATGTTTGCCAGAGCTCAGTAATATAAATAATAAGCATTGCTAGAAATGGTTTAATCTCATTTATTCACATCTCACTCCTTTAAAGTCAGTGTCCAGGAATAAATTGTATTTGTTTATTTAAGTAGTAGAAATATAAGGATAAACTGCATTTAGTTCAAAATGTTTGTACAGTATAAACTTTTGAGGACAGAAGAATGTATTTTATCCTTTAATTTAATTGTCTATTAACTGATTCAGATAAGTGTGGTATAGTCACTTAATGGTAAGATTAGTTGATGTGTCACTCGTGTGATAGCATTTATTGCTGAATAGTCTTTGCTTAGTCATTATTTACATATTAGCTAATCTTCCAATAGATAAAATGTAGTGAATAACATTACAGATTAAATGGAATTAAGCATGTTCTGAAGGCTTGTGTTACTGAACAGTTCTGAGAACATTATTCCAACGAAAATGAAAGTTTAGATTCAGTAGGTGAAAACTCACATAGGACATTCTTTGAAAATGTTTGCTTTCAAATGCTGATTAGTCTTAATGATCTATTTTTAAAGGATCATATTTTAAAAGAAAACTCTTGACTGTTTGTTTGGTACTAACAATTCTCTTTTAAGGAGTAGAAGACAAGCTCAATATAGTTTTCTGCCGGTGGTCTTACCACCACAAATTCAGAGACAGTATCACACATACCTGCATATGGCAGTGCTTAGGCTACTACTAGAAAATTATTTAATGTTGTGGCCTGTAGAGTTCAGAATCTATGGGGAGGTGAGGGAAAACAAATGTCAGTTTTGCTGAGAAAAATGTCTTCTGTTTTTGCCTTGAACGTGGGCGCTTTAAAGCAACACATATATCTTGAATTATTTAATTGTATTGTCAAAAGATCCAAGGTAAGATTCTTAGAACAGGTGTTTTCCTTGACTGTTAGTTTCAAAATATAATATTTCAGAGATAAAAGTTCTTCATTCCACTGTGTTAGCTCTCCAGAAAAAAAATATAGACACCTTGAATAAAACATCCATATAAGAGGGAGGTTGTCTACTAGCGCTAAGCTACAGTGAATAACTTAAAGAATAAAATTTAAGGAACTTGCTTTTAAATGGTCATGCAAGTAAAGTTACTCAGTTATGACCTTCATAACAAATCTTTCGTTAATTGGGGACTAAGAAGCTGAGACTAATAAAGGCAATGTGCTTTCTGAAATTTGTGAAGTATTATTTAACCATTCTCTGCTGTCTGTTTTAATGAGTTAATATGTCTCCACAGTTCCTCATTTCTTGGATGAGGCCTGAAAGTGCCTATTTTGTTCTGTTGACTTCATAAAGAGAATGTACTGTGCCTAGCACAGCAGATAGCTGCATTGTAAGGTCTGCTCTGTAGACATTTGTTTGGTCTGATGAATCTCTTCCAAATCTTAGTTCAGGACATCAGGACACAGTTTACTTAATTCTTTCTTCTAGAAACAGTGTAGTAGAAGATGATGAAATGTATATTAAACATAAAAATATTACGAAATATTGCAAGATTTTTTCCTATTAACAATGTTCCAGAGCTGTTTTTTGGCTTACTAAGGTGCATGATGTGATTGATACTCTCTCATTCTAATTTTCAAATCCTTCTTTTAGACTAAGACTGGGGTGTTCTTTATTTTGCATTTGTATGTATACTTCAGGCTAGATATTAAACCTTTCAAAAATAGTTTAATTGCTTTAAGCCAGTTTTCTGACATCTTTAAAAAGAGTCATTGCAGAAAGAGAGGTACATTTCAGGGAGTAATTCACCCCAGTTATTTTAGTGATCAGCTGCTCCACAGGTGCTCCTGTTTTCCAGTGATGATACAGAGAGACTAGGCAATGAATTGAAAACATGCCTAACATTTAGATGGCCACAGATTAAGTGAGGTAAATACGTGGTCTCTTATTTTTTGTCAGTATATCCAATTCTAATGAGAGAATTCTAGTTTTGTTAGTTATCTTCTGAAAACTATTGTCATCTAGGCTTTGTATTTTTTGTTTTCTTTTTTTTTGTATTTTTTTTATTCTATCTTTTGTTTATTTGTGTGTTTGTTTTCCCAAATTGCTTCTTCTGTGGGAATGCTAACACAAGCATGTACTTCTTGGAATGGATCCTTTTCTTAAGTAAGGAATATTGGAATTAGACAACTTTAAGCCTACTGCTGCTAAAACCCTAAAATTTCATTGAAGAGAGGAATATCATTGCATTCTTCAAATGATCTTAAGTATTCAAATTTTCTCATTTAGGGTGTTGTCAGACCAACAGGTGGCTATGCAGTTATGCTGAACTGGACAATGTCAGCTGTATATGGGCTCAAACCTGGTGAGGTAATTCTGTTTAAATGTCTGTAAATGTTTTTGAACTCCTCTTAAAAACGCCTTACTATATTTATGTTTTTATTTCACTTTAGGTGTGGTGGGCAGCTTCTGATTTAGGCTGGGTTGTTGGTCATTCCTACATCTGTTATGGGCCTCTCCTTCATGGAAATACCACAGTTTTGTATGAGGTATGATCCATTCTAAAAAGTCAGCCTTTGAAAACACGGCATCTCCTCCAGTTGATGCTCCTGATGATTCTGTATATGCCTGCCTATTCATCATGCCATGTATTTAAATTGTGTGTATATCTTCAGTGTTTATACTCTCCTGTCTATTACAGTAATTCTTAAAGAAAACTTCACTATCCTTCAAACTTGTCTACTTCATCTGTGTGACTGGTGATAGTCAGCGGGGCAATGAACTCCAGAACAACAGAACTAGAAATGGCAGATGGTGGAGTGTACCTGTGTTGCTGAGGCCTCAGCCATAGGCCATTAGACTACCTTTGTTATGGATCTAGGAGAGGATGTTGTGTTTTGCATGTCTGGAGATGACAAATTCTAACCGGATCTGAGTTGGAGGCAATTGGGAGCTCTGTGGTTGGACCCAGAACTTTTAAGGAGACTTGTCTCTTTTTTCCTTCTTCTACCACTCAAGGCACCTGAAGCCAAGACTCAGATGACATTCAGGGCTTGGTCCTTCTCCTTGGGGGATAAAACTCAGTGGGGTGGAGACACTAGTCAAATTAGAGTGGCCTGGTGCACCCTAACTTTGGTGCTCAAAAAGGAATCACTCTGCCTTACATTGTTATTTTTTTGGAAGTTATTGTTGATTCTCTAATCACCGGGCAAGAAGATACAGTGTTACTTGAAACATCTTCTTCAGGGAGTGAATCCAGTATCCATCAGTGATAGTGAAAGACATTTCACATAAAAGCACCGATATTGTTAGTTCTTAAGCCTGCTGAGACTTGGTTGTCTGCATTCACCTGATATTAGGAATTCTGTGTATATCCCGACTTCTCCAACATTGTGCAGCGTGACACCCACCTAGTGATTGATCTGTCTTTTTCAATGGTCCTAGAGGCAGAAGTTGTTTTAGCTCTGCCATTGTGGCATGCTGGTCACCTCTCTTGATTTGCAGTGGTAATTAGAAACATGTGAACCACTAAGGGAAATCCAATGGTACCCCAGAGCATACAAGAACTGCAAAAATATTGTGAACATACTGGATGCTGAGGGCATGAAAAAGCACATGAAACAAGCTGTGATGAAATTGTTAGAGTACCATCTGTAGCCAGTGCTTCTGGAGCAGGGGAGTCAGCATAATATGGTGGAATCATACTGTTCTACAGACCATCATAGGTGCAGAAGTTCTGCATAAGGAAATGGATATTATGGTTAAGCTTTCTCCATCTTCCTGCTCTTACACTGTACAACTGAAGATGACCGTACTAAAACAGAAATGGATTGTTACTTTTGTGTTTACAGAACCAGTTAAGTTGTTATTGGTTGAGATATGCTTCACTGTTATGAACTGGTGGGTAGCTGGTGCTGGGATTGTGCCTGAATTTTGAGTAAATATGTTTCTGAATCCTGAAGAAGCATGGACAGTTGTAATAAGGTGAGGTTGCTTCCAAAATAGTTTGGATACTGCTGCATCAGACACTGCAGAACTGACTATGGCTTGCTGCATCCTGTTTTGCAAGTTAGAAGTAAACTTTACTGCTCAAAGTTCACTCTCTTTATAAACTTAGAAGCAAGATTCTCACAAGCAGAAGATGCCTCTTGAAGCAGGTTGTGAATCCTTCAGTCCAGAAAAGCAATGGTCATTAGGCATGCATCTACATGATATTTCAAATCACAGCAATAGTGCAGTTCTGAAATAAGTCTTTTGATTGTCCTTGCTTATTGGTTTGGTTCACAGTGTGGTTTTAGACATATGAATGACATCTTTACAGAGAAAGCTAAGACAGAAGCATTGCCACTTGGGATAAAAGGGTAGGATCCAATGAGTGGGACTGCACTACTATGAAGTTTTCCAGAACAAAGGAAAAGTACATGTGCCAACAGAAAGCTTTAAAACTGTCAAGAGCTCCCACCTTATTCTGAAGTACTTCTTGTGCTATGCAAAAGGGCCAGACGCTATGTGTGACTTCGTGTTTGCTGATGATCACCAGATGTCTGCTTGTTCTGACCTTCAGCTGCTCCTTTATTTCTCCCAAGCTTTTGCTTCTAGCCTCTTCACGAGCCCTATTTCTTTTGCTGTTCCTGCTTTTATGATCAGTATCTTCCTTTATAACCTTATTAAAATTATTCCTCCTTTCCTACTACTGCATTTTGCAATAGTGACAACTATTGCATTGGCCTTCTGGAATATTGGGCAAGGGGCAACCTGGAGCTTGACAGCATGTGCTCTGAAAGGCCCAAAAGTTTCCCAGGCAGATGTACTACCCTGATGCTAATGTCAAGCCTGCTGCAGAGTGGGAGAGGACTGAAAAGCAGTGCTGCATTCATTTCAAGTAGATGAAGACCATGTTCCCGATGAGGTGGGAAAACCATACTTCAGCGATGGCACAGTGGGTGTGCCGCAACCACAGAGATCTTGAACAGATCGTCAGGGGAGGGGAGAGCACACCACCAAACCCAGTGCTCATGAGGACATCCAGGACCACCGGTCTGAGAGAAAAATCCAGGGAAAAGTGTGCCGACAGTGTTGCACACATCTATATGCCTGCAACCTCCAGAGGACCCCCACAAGACAACGTGCAGGAACATCCCCTCACTGCCATGGCAGGCAATGGGAACTGCAAAATCATGGTCCAGATGCCCACCTGAGTAAGCGTGCGTATTCTTTTCCTATAAATGTATTGAGCATGGGGCTGTTTTTAAGAGGTTTCTGGTAGAATTGGGGCACTGTTGCATAGCTGTGGGAAGGCAATATGTGTCCTGGATCGACTGTGAGAGCTGCTATGCCTTGAGAAACCCCCAGGGGCCTTGAGCTGTGAGGGAAGTCCTGTGGAGCAGCAAGCTCCATCAGAGACCACTTGTCCTGTCCCAGCTCTGCCTGTGTGCCAGGCACAGTCCTGGAAACTGTAGAAGTCATGAATGTGACATACGTTGATAACGGCTCTCCTAGGCTTCTGCACAAAACCCCAACCACACTGTCTCTTCATCTCAAACGCAGTGTATAGAGGACCTACCTTGTGGTGGTAGTGGTGCTGGTACTTCTGGCCACGTGTCAGATCCTGTCCCAGCCCTGCAATCAGCTGCTTGTACAACAAATACCATTCAAGACGATACCATTTCTTTGAAATGCAGTGGTTAAGTTAGTGATTGTTGGCAAACTATTATCTCTCCCTCTGCCCCAAGTCACGCTCAGGATAGGTCATAAAGGGAAGGGCACTGCAGGCTGGGGTAAGGCATAGTTGCATTAGCCAGGTTTACCTAAAACAAATGGATTGAATGCAGCAAGGAGTGTATGAAGCACACAAGTGTGGAGGAGGGGAAAATTAAAGACAGACAGAAGTATTTGGAATCAGTTCCTTTTTAAACGTTGCATAACATTTGCCAGATTGAAAGACATTGATGTCCAGTGATATTCCTCCCATCCCGCTCCATGCACTCCTGAATATTCAGTGGGTTGATGACTGTCTTCAGTGAAAGAGCAGACAAAGTCTTAACACAAGTGCATTGCTGGATGCCCCACCCATGACAAAGAGAGCAGAGAACTGTGCATACAGGTACTGCGGAAGCTGTGCTCAGTGTTTCAGTCTGAAGGAAGGTCTCAAAGATGTCCTCACAAATGGTTCAGACTAAAAGTGATCTCCTTGTTTTGGAAGGTACTGGAAACGTCTGCACAGTGTCTGTACCGCATAGCCTGCTGTCTTTCAGATGGCTGAACGTAGATTGCGGTTCTGTTATGCATTCAGTAAAAGCACAATGAGATTAGGCCTGTGCTGCACCATTGTCAAGAGTGTACCTTATGGTGTGGGTTGCAAAGGTATGCAGCCTCTCTCATGATGCTTGTTGGCATTGAGGACTTCATGAATGATCCTGTCCCTTCTCGGCAAGGCGGCAGTGGCATATGTTTGGTTCTGTGACCAGAGATATGGAAGATAGGGGATATAGAAACTTTATGGTAGAGCCTATTGGTGATGTGTGAACTGACATACTGCTGTCATCTGCATGAAAGCGATGAAAGGGACAGCATGACACTTCCTAGAAGAGAAGACCCTTCAGTCAAGTAAGCAAAGATCTATAGGATAGCTTTCCATCAGAAAACTTGGAGCTGTGTTTTTAGTCAAGTGAACAAGACTAAGTCTAGTCTAAAATAAACCTCAAATAACATCTAATGGAAGAGGTAAAGAGCATTGGCATTAAATGGTTTGATCTACTAATCTGCTCTAATATACCTCACTACTAGCTATGTAAACAGTCTGTGACACCGTATGTGCTCGTATTCATGTTATTATTTCACATGGTACTAAGTTTATTTTTACCAGTGCATGTAATAGGAAGAAGATTGATAGCCTCTCATAGAACAGCAGATTATGCCTAGGTGACACCTGTGTATGTTGCTCTGTATAAAATCCTGTTGTTTAGCATTTTTGTAACAGAAAAATGTAAAATAAGAAACAAAATGTAATGTTTAAAAGCAAAGCAAATGTTGAGGTCTTAAAAATGTGGTTTGGAATGTGTTCTTGGCTTTGTGGTTAACTTTTAAAAGTGTTAACTTTTTCTTCTGTTCTTGGAAAGACTGTGGGTAGTGTGTTAAGTTGTTCTATGAAATAGAAAATAAGCTTTTGTCAGGATGTTTTTGTTCTGCGTCATTTTGTGATCTGTAGGATCTGAGGCAAATACCTTTGGTTTTTAGCTTCTAGGCATTGGATTGATTTTTCAGTAATCTCTTAGAAAATCAGGTTTGCAAAACAAGGTATTTTTTTATTAAATAATAAAGCACACAAAGTGATAACAAGAAGCACAAGGGTTTTCTTTTTTCCCTGAACAGCTAAGACAGAGATGCTCACATTCCTTAATGCTCCCAGCCAATGATTGTAGCAGCTGGAGAAAACTTAAATAAATGGTTATTCTTAATTTGAATCTCAATGTACCTTCTGTCCAGGTAAAGTTTACTGACTTGCTTACTATCAGTGTTTAAAATGAAAGCTTGCAATGAAAGCCTTATT